AAGCAGCCTGATATGGCCTCTATTAACAACAAATCTCCAGTGACATAGAACAGGATAAGAGACACACAGGCTTGTTAAGACTCTCAGATGAGGATTCGAAAGGACATTTTACTGCCAGGGTTCACTGTCTTTTTAGGAACAAGGTGTTATTTGCACTATGTGAGGTTTATTGGTGCAAACACCTCTAGGCTACGTAAGCACTTACAGTATACTTATGCAACCTTGATTTTACATGTCCTATAAAACATGCAGGATGCAGTTCGTAACGCAACTTGCATATTGCATTCTCAGCATTGCCACAAGAGGTGCTATAGAAAAACATAGCATTAGTCTTCAGGTGAGGTTTTACCATTTGACATTTACCATTTAATCATTTCAATAGGAATCTAGTATTGTGTGGTAGGCTATAACTATGAAATCAGTAGCAGTAGCAGTGGTGATTGCAAAACATCCACTACACAATATGTGCAAACATTTCCATGTCGTTAGCATTTATACTTAAGTAGCCTTGATTTCACACGTCATTGAGTTTTTAAAGCGTGTTAGAATGCGATTTGTAACGCAATGCAAGTATACTGCATTTTCAACATTGCCTCAAGAGGTGCTATAACAGGCATTAGTCTTCAGGTGAGGTCACATTTACCATTGTTTGGTAAATTTTCGCAGACAAAATCCAATAAATTCAAGTGGAATCCATGCAATTGTGAATTTAGAGTGATAGTGAAAGTTTAGCTTTTCCCAAATGTCAATTCGGTCACACCGATTCGCCACGTTGACCAAAAGAAAGCGTCTCGTTTTGAAAGCGCCGTCTGTGTTTGCAGTGCTTCATACATTACTACAAATTCTACTAAAAAAACAGTAGTTTGAAGTAGTCAACAGTTCGAAGAAAGCAAGTTTGCTCAAGTTTGATTTCAGATGTTGCTTTTTCAAAATGAGTCCAAAAAAAATCTAGCTATATTTAGAGTTTAATTTTTTTAAGATAAATTTAATAGAGGTTGTTTCTGCTATAGCAATTCAAAAATATCTAACAGGACACGTCTGCAATACCTCTCCAAAAACATTCACATCTGCATCTTCATATTTGCGTAGAGAATGTTTTAGGCTTAATAGATGAACCACAGCAAAGTGTAAAGACCTTTCTCAGACTCTGAACTTTCAGAAAGTGTCTGTAAAAAGCTCTACATGAATTCGTCTTGGCAATTCTACATAAATAATAGTCCCGGATTCATTAAAACTACCATTGTACACAGGGGCGCGGGAAGATGTTTTCGGTTGGGGGTGCTGTGTGTGTCTGTGTTGGGTGAAAGGGGGGCGGAGGGGAGGGGGGGTCACCTCATTTGACAACTCCACAAAGCACTACAAGTGCGTCGATATGAACACTTGTTTAAGTGGCATTGGAAATTTGACTGCATATCACATTTTTGAAATGATCGATAGTAGCTGATCAATCTGGGGGGTTGGGCTAGGTCCGCTAGGCTTACTTGTCTCCGTGCTCGTGCTGCAGCTGGAGCTGGTTCACTTACGTCGATGCTCATGCTTGGGCTGGTGTTGGATGCCTATTTTTGGAAAGTTTTTGCTGGGATGGGCATTTTAAAAAATCTGAAATTCGCTTTTGCGCCATTATCTCCTTGTATTAAAGTTAATCTTGTTTGCATTCTGTATAGTTCACGTCTGATACCACGCGCCAGCTTCACGTGTTCATGAGGATTAGGCTAATCATCCCATATAGAAAACATCACAAGTAAAATGAATCATGTTTATAAAGATAAACATGGGTTTGTTATAGCCCACTTACAATTTACATTTCAGAGATCATTACAAATAAATTATTAAATGCTAAAACTGAATAAATTTAAATGAACAAACTTGCCGTTGCATTTGCAACCATGTGAAAACAGGGGGTGCTGCAGCCCCCTCAGCACCCCTACTTCCCACGTCCCTGATTGTACACTGAGTTGGCTGAGTTGTTAGCCTGAAAGTTAGTGCAGCGACCAAGGTCAGGTGGCAGAGCTTTGTGCTGGGCCGACTTTGATCTTTTGTGTAGATCTTTGTGTTAACGGCTGCCAGCACATACTATTTGTTTGCTTTTTTGATTCCATGACAATCTCCTTTTATGAGTTTTCTCCCACTGTTGGTTGTAGATGTGCTTTACGTTGAACATTTAAACATACACATCCATGCACACAAACAGGTCAAGAGGTAGCTGATAAGCCCCAGTGGTGCGCATGGCCTCAGTATTGATCTGGCCCTGCCATAATCGTTTACCCAGCAGGCTCAGCTCCAGCAGCAAGGCCATCTCATGACCTTTGATACATAAGTCATGCGATCATTAGTTTCTGACTTCCCTGGACTGACTGAGTTCAAAGCTCTGGAGCTTTTTGCCAATACCTTACTGTTCACATGATGTGCACACTCTCAGCATTGATTTATACACACAAATACACACCTACATACAGTAAATCCTATCGACTGCATTAAAAAAGTAATACATCAAACCCACCCTGTCATTGATTTAGCTGATTTTATGATATATGGGAGATGCTATGTGTGTGTCTGTGATCATAAATGATGTTGTTGACAAACAATTGCGGAGTTATGTGATGACATCACTCAGGAATTGACGGCCTTCAAGTGGGAACGAAAATATCGTAATAATGAGTTCTGAGCACATGAATGATAAAGTAAAGACAAGTGCGAAACTCTGACTGCTAGATGATACATGAGTTGCGAGTTATGTTGATGTAAATCATAGTGGCAAACAAGTCTTTTGTGAATGATAATGAATGATTTTGCAAAGTTATTTTAATTTTCCAAGCTATCTCCAGAATTAAGTCGCTATTCATGAATGAGCTTGTAGAGCACAAACGTAAAGGTACAGTAATCCATTTCACAGTTTGTTTTATACTAAATGTTTTTTGTTTGTTTGTTTTTAAGTACCATGCATATCAGTGATAGAAATGAAAATTATATATAAATAAACAATGTAATAAAAATGGAAAACAAATCTGTATGTATACATATGTATATATATTCTTATTGAACATTTTTATTATATATATATGTATATGTGTGTATGTGCGTGTGTGTGTATTATAAAAATGTTCAATAAGACAAAATTACACTTAGATAAGTGTTATTTTAGTATTTGTTTGATAAACTATTATAGTATTTAATCATATTTTGTATTTATAGTATTTTATCATATGTAATCACATTTTAGTTAAAGTTTTTCATCTAATATGTATACTTTATTTAATTTTTTACTTTAATTCAATTAATTTAACATGATTTAAGGTTTAGTTTTAGTTAATAACAAGTTACCAACACTGACTTAAATTCAAGAAATAATCTATGAAAACGCTTCTTAATATCTTATTCATCTTGCCTCTCATATTTTAAGGAGTTATAGACTGAAAAGTAAGTCAAAACTAGTCATTAAAAACTCATTAAGAAGTCATTTTTGCTGTGTATGTATGCTTCAGGCTTAATAATACAACTTGAGATGAATTGCTGCGTGTGTATTTGATATTAGACTGTAAATGTAATGTCACTCACTTACCATTCTGTTGGGAAAATTCCTTCACCATCACCTGTCTGAGCATATCTGGATCTGCTATGATCACTATAGGCCGCCGGCCTATATAATAACTGACACACACACATGCAGAGAGAGAGAGAGAGCAAACAAACAAGATGAAATGAATAAATAACAGGGCACCAGTCAAATTTCAGGGGAATAGCAGGAGACAAAAGAACAAAGGACAAATACACACACAGATAAAGCAGCACATCTGTGCCTGCAGACCCCGTCTTCCCTTCATATCACTGACAGGGGTACAGACACGCATCATATGTGTGTGTGTCAAGGTCAGCTCAGGAAATAAATTTGATGAGGCTGCTGGGTAGCTCCTTTCCTGTAGTCACGCATGGTAGCTTTCACTGCTGAGATGTGGCGAGGTCGTACCGTCAAACTCTGTGAAATGGAGGATTGTGAGCACGTATGTATGTGCCCTTGCATGTGCCAGCATGAGACACCACCTTCCCCTCAAATGCAACTTCCTGTCATTTTCGGTTTCAACTTCACAGGAAATTGCAGAAACAAGCAGATAATTAAACACCTTTATTAGGCACCGATAATTGAACATGAAAGCTTTTAGGCATATATCTGAAGCCATTAATCTAGTTCATACAAGCCTTTGGACGCTCCTTTTTTCCAGCAGAAGGCTACGCTTAGGTTCATTACCGTGTCCAGTTGCTGTAAAGCACATTTAAGCCCAGCTGGGACTCAGCTGGAGGCAAACGCAGCCGAGACAGATCACTCTTATCATTTACTGTACTCTCTTTGCATGTGCCGGTGTCAGTTTGGTACTGTAAAACTCAGAGCAGAGCGCATAGGCTCTTCATATCATCTTGTGCTAATGAAATTGACATTGGCAGTCCACATGGCTCTAGGAGCAGGATGAGTTTAATTAAGCTTGCAGCTAAGTGACCTATAAAACACTGATCTCATTAGTATGTTTTGGTTTATCTATGCATCTGCGCCGGCGGTCTGTTCGCAAACCAAAAAGCTGTGTGAAAAAGTCTCTCACGTGCAATAAAGATTGATATATGCAAGAGAGACTAAAATATCACTCACACTGCAAAATACCATTATTAATCTAATTTTCCAGTAAAAAAAATAAAAATACATATATATCTAAAGATTTGGTAACACTTTAATGCAAAACATTAAATTCAATTTAATGGTTTAATGTTCAATTACAGTATTTAACAATAGGTATCATGAACTAACAATGAACAATACTAACACAACTATACTACAGCATTTATTTATCTTACGTAATACCTCTTTAACACCTCAGATTATATAAATCAACATTAGTTTATGTATTATGTACAAACAATGAACAATATTTATAAATTAACATTATCCAGGATTATTATCTGCTGTAATATAAATTGTTTTGCTAGATGAGTTAGATGAGTATGTAAGCCCATTTCTGCCACAGTTGAGTAAAAAATATGATTCTGTAAGTCATAATGGGAAACTTTCTCTGTTTTTCATTATGAAATACATAGTCATTATAATGTAAAAGTTCCTTACTATTGAGATTTTATATAATTCAAGAAATAATCTATGAAAACGCTTCTTAATATCTTATTCATCTTGCCTCTCATATTTTAAGGAGTTATAGACTGAAAAGTAAGTCAAAACTAGTCATTAAAAACTCATTAAGAAGTCATTTTTGCTGTGTATGTATGCTTCAGGCTTAATAATACAACTTGAGATGAATTGCTGCGTGTGTATTTGATATTAGACTGTAAATGTAATGTCACTCACTTACCATTCTGTTGGGAAACTTATTGAATTCCTTCACCATCACCTGTCTGAGCATATCTGGATCTGCTATGATCACTATAGGCCGCCGGCCTATATAATAACTGACACACACACACATGCAGAGAGAGAGAGAGAGCAAACAAACAAGATGAAATGAATAAATAACAGGGCACCAGTCAAATTTCAGGGGAATAGCAGGAGACAAAAGAACAAAGGACAAATACACACACCGATAAAGCAGCACATCTGTGCCTGCAGACCCCGTCTTCCCTTCATATCACTGACAGGGGTACAGACACGCATCATATGTGTGTGTGTCAAGGTCAGCTCAGGAAAGAAATTTTTATTATTATGATACAGTAAGACATTATTATGTGAAAGTTTCTCATTTATATGAGACACTGTATAATACTAAACAGAAAGTATCTTGTAATAATGAGAAACTTTCTCATAATAATATTATGGTAGCACTTTATTTTAGTCCTATTCCGCATGTACATACTATGTACTTGCTATAGTAATTAAATATGTATATTTTATAATATTTTAAAACATCTATATGACTTAACTAACTCATGATAAAGCTTATCATCACTATGATAGTTTGTCATTATGAGAAACTATACTAATAATATGAAAAAGATAATACTATTATTATAATTATTAGTTTCTCATTTTTACAAGATGCTATACTACTAATATTATTTTGACATGAACTCATAAGTTTTACTATATCATACTATATTGAGAATTTCTCTAAATATAATGATACAAAGTTATTTTTATGACTTGCAGAATATTTTTTACTCAGCTGTGGCAGAAAAGGGCTTCCATATCAGAATGTAGACTCAATGACATGCAATCTCTTTAAAATGTATTTAGACACTTAATTCACACCTAAAAACATCTGGAAACCACTGCATTACACTGTCAGCCATTGAAAAGCCCATATCGGTTGACCACTATACCAAATGGCCTCTTTCACTGGGCTATCTCACTCATGCGTTCTGGTTAGAAGCCATTTCTAGATATTTTCAAACCATATCTGAAGGATGTTTTTGGGAAGAGCAAAAGAAAAAAAATCACACCTTCGTGAGCAAACCTTCTGCACATGTTATATTGAGCATGTGCAGAAGCGTCTGAACTTATATGACTGATGTCTTGTACTTTGGGAACCGACAAGGGTTTTAAGGAGCATGCAGAGCACTCATATGTATTTCAAAGCCCTTTGATTTCAGTGAGAAGCTCAGCCTCTTGGATTACTCTAACTGAAAGATGTCGTAATGTCTCCTGACATATATCCACACGACTCTGAATTAGATCCCCTTTTCCGGTCCCGACACCCAATACAGAACCCCCGGATCCCATTAAACACACATATGCACACACACACAAGCAGACAAAACCAGCGTCATTCTGATTCTCTTCCCCTCTATTCTGCTCATATTAAACACAGGAAGCCCAGTGCCACTCGCTGCTTTGATCTCCCTCGAGGAGAAGTCGGCCTCTCAGAAGCAGGCATATTAAAACACAATGTCTGGCTAGCGACCGACTAAATTAGAGGACACTGGGCACTCTGTGAGAGGCTCATGCTGTCTGAATATGAATGACAGGACCGTGAACAAGGGCCTCGTGTGTGATGGGTGTTACACACAGATGCTCTCGTATTAAAATAATTCTATAAATGTGGAAATGACTAAAGCAATCATGTAGGGCACTTTTCATCAGAAACATAATCAGAAAAAAAATCATTTCTATTACACAGGGGGTAATGAGAAGTCGTTCATGTTTCACTTGGCAAAACAAATAGGTTTCGCATATTTGTGTTTATTAATGCCTTTGACAAAAGCTTTCCCAGATAATAAAAAATGGTTTCTTTCAGACATCAATCTCAGATTTTTTTTTCAACAAAGAAACAACATAAATTTAATCCAATTTATTCATTTGATTGACGCTTTAATAACAGTAAGAGTAAAATCCAAGGAGACTCACCCACAAATTCATCCGTATTTCTTTATTAGGTCAGATTGTGCCTTAAAGAAACCCTGTGCAAGAGCAGAAAACCCACATATCAGTATGAAAGCATATTAGAGAACATTGTGAACACATGACACATGTGGTCAGATTTATTTTAGAGACTGCCAAAGTATCACATCATCTACAACAATCAGATTTAAAGGGATAGTTCACCAAAAAATGAAAATTCTGTCATTAATTACTCACCCTCATGTCGTTCCAAATCCGTAAGACCTTCGTTCATCTTCGGAACACAAATAAGATATTTTTGATGAAATCCGAGAGCTTTCTGACCCTGCATAGCCAGCAATGTAACTGACACTTACAAGGCCCAGAAAGGTAGTAAAGACATTGTTATAATAGTCCAAGTGACATCAGTGGTTCAACCGTAATTTTATGAAGCTACAAGAATACTTTTTGTCCCTGTCAGTCTTCCACACGCATTCATGACAGTACCACACAGTTGTGTTGCTGTCTATTGAGGGTCAGAAAGCTCTCGGATTTAATCAAAAACATCTTAATTTGTGTTCCAAAGATGATGAAGGTCTTATGGGTTTGGAATGACATGAGGGTGAGTAATTAATGACAGAATTCATTTTTGGGTGAACTATCCCTTTAATAGTGAAATGCCACACAACTTCACACAACTTCAAGAAATAATTTTATGTATTTATTATTTTAATACTGGCAACACTTTTTTTACACATTCTATGTGATATATATTCTGCTGCAAATATTTGCAGCATGCTAATACTTTATTAGAAAATTAAACAATTGAGAGAAATGTGAAATCAGAAAGATACACTATATGAACAAAAGTATTGGGACACCTGACCATTACACCAACAGGGACTTAAGTGACATTGCATTCAAATACATAGACATTAATATGAAGTTTGATCCCCCTTTGCAGCTACACCAGCTTTCACTCCTCTAGGAAGGTTTTCCACAAAATTAAGTGTTTCTGTGGGAATTTTGAGCATTTGTGGGGTCAGGCACTGATGTTGGATGAGTAGGCCAAGCTTGCAATCTCCATCCCAGTTCATCCCAGAGGTGTTCAACGGGGTTGAGATCAGAGCTCTGTGTGAGCCAGTCAAGTTATTTCACACCAAACTCATCCAATCATGCCTTTATAGATCTTGCTTTGTGCACTGGGGCACAGTCAGGACCTTCCCTAAACTGTTACCACAAAATTGGAAGCATATCATTGTCCAAAATGTCTGTATGCTGAAGCATTAAGATTTCCCTTCACTTCATCCCTCTTTTACGCACCATGCACCTCAGCACTCGGTGACCCCGCTCTGTGACTTTACATAGTCTTCTGCTTTATGGCTGAATTGCTGCAGTTTCTAAATGCTTCCATTTTTCAATAATACCACTTACAGTTATCTGTGGAATATCTATCAGGGATGAAATTACACAAACGGAGTGGTTTCCTATCATAGTACCATGTTTAAATTCACTGAGGTCTTAACCACAAATATTTTTTCCACAAATGTTTGTAAATGCATACTACTTGATTTTATACATCTGTGGGTGTAGTTTAAGATCTTATGCAGAATATTATTATTTTTACTACAATTACAGGCAACTTATTTTTCTGCCACAGTTTTTTTAATTGATGCTTTTCAAATACTGTGGAATAAAACATTCTAATAATCTGAGTAGGAGAGATCTGATTTGTTAAACTTGCATCCGTTGTTCTCAGTGGGTGGGCACTTTCTCCAAGATTAGCACATTCACAAACATTTGCACAGCTTTGCCATCATGTAGTTTAAAGCAATTATTTATTTCAGCTCGATCTTTTCTTGGATACCACCATCTGTCTTGTCTGACTACCCTGCACAATATAGATCAATCACTATGACTCCTAAAGAGGCGCTTACTATGTGAACACGGGTTACTGCAGGTGCGGCATCACACTTATCTACCAGTAGGGGTCAGCACAGAGCAAAAACACCGACTGCGCTTGGCTCTCTCGAGGTATATGGGCTCTCGGGAGGTTTATTGAGGTCTACTGAGAATATTATCCTAAAATATCCATAACCATAACACAATAACAAGAATATTATCATATCCCTATTTAGAATCGAAGAACATATTAAACTTTGCACATAAGGCTGCTGAGATTGCATTGTTTGAGGCTGGTGGGATACAGTTAAGAAGTTACACAACAAAGCAAACAACGAACACATCAAGTACTGACTGTAAAACGCACACACACACACACACACACACACACAAAGAGCTCTAGTTTGGTATGCATGGCAGCCGGTGGCTCTGCTGTCTCTACTAATGAAGGAGTCGACAGTGCTGGCACCAAACCACCTGCCCTCCCTTCTTCATCCCACCATTCCTGCAGTCTCCCTGGTGGGCATTAGGCATAGACGTATGTGTGTGTGTGTGTGTGTTCCTCAGTGAGCATTAAGCAGTGGGGTGTGCGCCCTTCCGTCCTGATGTCCTCTCCTTCAGCCTTTTATTACTGTTCTGTCACACGGAAGAGGCTGTGTGTGCATCAGACAGTGCTGTAGTGAAGTTTAATAGGAGGCTCAATTCAAACAAATGAGTTGCTCCTGCCTTTGGCTTCACTGGGGATTCATCTCGGATGGATACGATCAATAACGCCTGGTCTGACTGAAACGGACAGTCAGCGATTCCATTGGAATTCTCTTAAAAAGATTAGCCACTTCCAGTTGTTTTCTAGCACATATATGACCTTCGACATCGTACTGCTTCTCTTTGTCTCGGTCGCTAATAATCTCTCATGTCACTCAGAGTCATGCAGGCAGACGTTCAGTGCGTGACTGAGAGGATGTGGAGGAAGGTATGGGAGATGCACTTTTAAAGATAGACTATTCTATTCTATTCCGTTCCGTTCTACACTTTTAAATAAAGGTGCATCGTGAAGCAATTTCGCCACAAAGAACCTTTTGTGAAGAAAGAAGGTTCTAAAGGTTATAAAAAGGCAAGAAAGAGATGGTTCTTTAAAGAACCTTTGACTGAATGGTTCTTTGTGGAACCAAAAATGCTTTTTCTTTGGCATCAGTGTGAAGAACCTTTTAAGCGCCTACTCTATTCTATCTTTTGGGGGGACTTTCAAAAAATGCCTTTCTTTGATTTTTACGTTTACATGTGGGTAAATCTGAAATACACTGGGAAAAAAACTGGTTTAGAAACAAATGTTTAAAAAACACAGCAAGTAATTCATTAAATTAAATGTAAGATTTTGAAGTAGAAACATTGAAATAGCATTTTCATTTTGTTTTATGTACATTTTAGAAAAATTAGTTTTTACAGTGTAATGATTCCATTAGGACCGATGCTGATTGGTCATCGGTAGTCTCTTCAAATTAGATTAATTTATGTAGACTTTGAGATCACGTATTCTGTCTGTCCAAAAGTAATAGTAATTTGTTTAGAGATATTACTCAGAAACAAAGCCAAATATACAATTCTGTTTGAGTATCTAGCTACCATAGGAGTCTTAAATAAAACTCAACATGTCTTTCAATGATTCAGTGCCACAAACCTGGCAAACCAAGTAATTATTTCTTCCCCAAAGGCACTAAATGCAACAGATCAGTTTCAAGAACCAAAAAACCTGTGCACCCATACTAAAACATGCAACCTAATTGGATTTTGCAATTCTTACCAGTTTTGTTTGCAAAATGCATCAGATGTCATTTAGTTTTTAATGAGCATTTTGCTTCTCTCTGACCCTTAGTATTAAACAGACTGTTTTAGGGGAAAAAAACAAAAGAGACATTGATGCTTTTATTCATCAAGGATGCATGAATTCAATTAAAGTGCAGTAAAGACATTTATAATATTACAAATATTTCCATTTCAAATAAATGTTGCTATTTACCAAAAAATCCAGAAAATTTCCATAAATTAAAATGATTTCTGAAGGATCATGTTGCACTGGAGAGGAATAAATTATATTTTAAAATATATTAAAATAGAAAACAGTTCTTTTAAACTGTAAAAATATTTCACAATATGACTGTATTTTTAATCCAATATATGCAGGCTAGGTCAGGTGAGAATATGAGACTGCTTTTAAAAAATGCCTTGAGTTAATGTGGGCGGTCTTCTGTTAGTATATTTATAACCAGGGCCTAAAATTAACACTCGCCAAGCGCCAAATGTGAGTAAAAATCAGCGTTGGCGAGTCCATGTAACAGTGTCAGTTGCCAGTTGGAGGATGCTGGCAAAAATACAAACTTTTACGAATTATAACAATGCAATGAAGTGAAAACGACAGCCAGGTTTTAAAGAGATTCGCTGTTTCTGACATAAGCGAATAAAATAATATTTTCCGAAGACAAGATCATCGTGATTAGCTGTTCTGTCATAAGCGACAAGAGCGAATCAAATAATAGGATACAAACGGACTGATAAGGTCAGAGCAGTGTGATGGCCAGCTTGCCCCTAGACACGGTTCGAATAACTTTTACCTGAGAAGATTTTTCTGCTTCATTTCGGAAGATTAACCTTTCCCTTCTTTATTCTTCATAACACGAGAATGCGGCGACACATACCTGGGGTTACGCCGCCTAAACGGTGCAGTGAAGTATAGTTTGAAAGGCTGCGTGTTCGGCTGTACACATACACCGAGCCGTTTCAGACAGCTCACCAGTAGCGCTTCAACGCACGAAAAAACACACAATCATGTCAAAATGCACGGTTTTGGCGAGTTACCTTGTAATCGTAGTCTTAAATGAGTTATAAAGTCTTAAATGACCGTAAAGAGTTGGGAGAAAATCGGGTATGTCAGATCCTCATCATATGCATCAGGTTTTAAAGTGAAACCTGCTGAAGTCTGTCATTGATGTAAATCAAAGAACAAAAGAAAAAGAGAAATCCTTGGACTGTTCTAGTCCCTGATTAACTTTTGTAGCTTGAATAAAGATTAATATGCATTTATGCATATATAATATAGTTTATGTGAAGATTGTTTTAAAATCACTTAAATTAAAAGTTGTTATATATTTCAGAGCCTATTAAATGTTAAAAATAATGTTGAATGGCTATAATTAATAGGTACAATTGAGGGGAAAATGCACCAGCAGGACAAATTAAAAACATTGTAAATATGTTTAGTCATTGTAGTAGTAATAACAGCCTGTTTTTGCAAAAAGAGTTTCATGGCCGGTAAAAAACTAATTTGGCCGGTAAATTTGATCATGTGGCAGGTGTGGCAAAAAGTTAGTTTTAGGCCCTGTTTATAACCTTTGACAATGACCTGTTTTTGTACCATAGATAAAGTAAATAGTCTTGACACACTTGGCAGGCAGCTTTACATTGTTAACATTAAAGTCAGTCTTCATACTGTAGCTCTTTTTATTTCAAACTACCATGACAAATCCTGTTTTCCAGATACGTCCCCTATGTATAAACGGAAAGCAAGTATGTGCGTGTGCGCTGGCAACAGAGAGAAAGAGAGAGAGGAACTGCATCTAGGTTGTTTAGGATCTTAAATGGACCAAATCTCATGTCTGTGAGTGTTGTATTTGGTAATGAAGTGTGTCTGATAATGTGCTGCTGTGGGTTGCAAGAGATTCTGTCGTCTAGTCTCTAAATGTGACTCAATCTGCCCCATATCCCAAACGCTCTTTGTACATCACTTCCTGTTACCCATGATCCTCAATCACACCCTGGCTTCTCTATTCTTTCTTGTACCTTCAAATCACTCCAAATATATATTTATCGTTTCATCTCTGTCTTCCATTTCCTTCTCTTAAAGGGGTCATATGATGTTGCTAAAAAGAACATTATTGTGTGTATTTGGTGAAATGAAATGTGTTTATGCGGTTTAAGGTTAAAAAAACACATTATTTTCCACATACTGTACATTATTGTTTCTCCTCTATGCCCCGCCTTTCTGAAACGCGTCGATTTTTACAAAGCTCATCGGTCTGAAAAGCGAGGTGTGCTGTGATTGGCCAGCTATCCAGTGCATTATGATTGGCCGAATACCTCAAGCGTGTGACGGAAATGTTACGCTTGTTAACTTATACTGTCTTTTTACGCGTTGCGTTGCATCGCGCCGCGTAAACATAAAACCATGTCTGCATTTGTGATCGGAGAAATGACAAACAACAAGTCCTACTCTACACTGCCCAGAACTCGCGTTTGAATCATCAGTGGCAAATTCTTTAAATATAAGAAACGTACTTACAGTCTGTGAGTCAGAACAGCCGGCATTGTAGTCTACTCTCCCAGGATCAGGAAACAGTCCTCCATAAAATGTGCTGCACACATCTGAATATTTGGGTTGAAGTGTGCTGGAACAGTGTTGTAAATACAACTTAACCACTGATTTCCAGTCGTGTCCATTTTTGGAAGGCCAAACAAAGTAGTTTTGCTTTCACAACGAAACACAGCGTCACACACGGCGGCCTAGAGTGAGCAGAGGCCGGGGGCTAGAGTGAGGAACGGCCAGAGGGCTAGAGTGAACGGAGGCCGGTGGGCTTGAGAATGGAGCGGCCGGCGGATTCGACGAAGGAGTGGCCGGCGGGCTTATGCAAATCTTCCCACATCGTGACATAGACATGTGGGGGCGTGTTAGCCGTTTTAGGTAGGCGTGGCTGACTCTTAACTTTTATAAAGAATATCTCTTTGGATTTGAGACTTTATTCTTTGCAACTTTACAGATCTTCTTTATGCACCAAGAGCTTGTAACACTCCAAAGAGAAAGGAAAAATTTAAATCGCATCATATGACCCCTTTAAGACTATATTCAGGGTACAACTGTATTACGTCCCACTGTAAAGTATTGTTCAAATGTTTTGAGTCAGTCAATTTTTATATACTTTTTATTTAGCAACGATGCAATAAATTGATCAAAAGTGACAGTAAAAACATTTAAAATCTTACAAAATATGACTTTTTTAGTAAATTCTGTTATTTTTAATGTTCTATTCATCAAAGAATCCACTGTTTTCAGCATTGACAATAATCAGAAATGTTTCTTGAGCATCTAATCAGCATATTAGGATGATTTCTGAAGGATCATGTGACACTGAAGACTGGAATAATGACTGCTGGAAATTCAGCTTTGCTATTACTGGAATAAGTTGTTATAAAATATGAAATAAATGCATCCTTGGCAAGCATAAGAGACTTCTTTCAACAAAGTTTCCAATTAGTCATTAGTCCTCATTTATTCTTGATCAGTCTGGGTCATTTTTACCAAAAAAGTAAAAAGTACATGCATATGCATTTTTGTATGAATATATTCATGAATTAATTCATTTATTCATATGATATATTATAAAAATTTAATTTTATATGAAATTTTGTAGTCTCCAATTAGGATCTGATACATAATGAACACAAAACTTGATTGTACTGTAAACTAACGTACACAAAACTGGAAACAGACTTTTCAAAACTAGAACTTTATGCAACTTCTGGGTTTTTTTTGGTTCACTCGTCATCAATCCTAAACACAGACTTTGCTAACGTAGCCTACACCTTACTTTCCTTCTCCTTTCTCTCTTTCAATATCTCTCTTTCCTCTTTTGCATTCTCACTGAATTTCTAACTTGAAATGCAGTCACCTGCCACTTGAGAGGGGGTTGCGTCTGCGTCTCTAGTGCCAGTAACACAAAATGTGCATACAGTCACACACACAGACCTACAGGATTTAGCTGAGAGGCTGGCCTGTGGAAGTGGGTCAGAGGATTCTGCTAGAGTAATGCTCTGGAGACCACTGTTTGTGAGTCTGAGTCTGCTGACGTGTGCACAAATCTACACACACGCTAATACGCACAGACAAAGGCTGCACAACAGCATACAAAAACCCACACACTAAAAAAAGCACATACCTTTAGTTCACCTGGGGAGCTTCATCTAGACACGCAGTAATTATGCATGCATGCATATTCATTTACGCCTTTCACACTTCCATCTAATAACATCTAATCACAACGAGGAAGACATGAACTGAGATGAAAAATATGGAGAAAAGGAAACAGACAGGCAGATCGAGAGGGAGAGAAGGAAGAGGGAGCCCTGTCATAAGCGGGTGATAGAAAGACAGAATGAAAAGAGTGTTTCGACAACAACATGCTGCCCAGTCAACCATTACTGTCCGACAGTAACATATTGATCTGAGAATCTATTCAGCACCAGAACAGCACAAGAGTTGGAATCAAAGCTTTATTTAAAATAAGCCAGTGTGCTGGTTGGGGAATTTCATTAAAACTTTTTTCAAAAATCTAAAGGAAAAATATACATTTATTTTTATTTTGTTAATTTGATTTAATTTTTGTATTTTATTTTCATAAAAAAATATTATAAAAATAATTTTTGTATGATAAAAAACCTAATTGAATTTTTTTTCTTTTTAATCATTTTAAAACAATTACCACTTATTGTTATATACAGTAAAAATACTGATTTAAAAAAATAAAATCAGCATGAAGGTAGTAAAAAAAGGTTCTGTGGTGTATACTCTCAATAGTCTAGTAAAAATTTGCACTATTAAAATTTTTTTCATTACCAATAATAATAATGAAATTTAAAAAAAAATGTACTGGTAATTGTCTGCCAGGATATTATCCAGTAATTTTACAGTCATTTATGTTAATCCTAATACACAATGCAATGGAGTGCATAATTCAAAATACAGGTAAAAATAAATTCTGAAAATAACTTATTAATAAAGCACATTGTGCCCTATTTTTTTTACAGTAAAAAAAAGCAAAAAGTTGAATTTTTTTTTTACATGCATTTCAAACCATCATATTTTTATTGATACGTCCCCCTTTAATGATCCATAAATATCCAAATTTTCTTGTGTTCTTTTGATTTTTATTGTAGGGTGAAATATGAGCCAAACTTGTTATTTTATGGCATTCATCATTACTGGTTGCTGGATGAATCTAGGCATTTCATATTCACAAATGAAAGTCCATTTTATACTCTCACTGGAATCGAACAGCCCTACAGCAAAGAAAATTTGGCCTTTATTTCCTATAATCCACATCAAATCATTATCATTAAACTACAGACTGGTAGAAATGAGAGTCCTCAAGGTAGCTGTTGATTTGCTACATTATAGCTTGGGACTGAGATTAAACTTAAAAAAAAAAAAACAGAGAAGGAATTAAAAGTATTCATTTTGCAATATTAAACCCACCCACTCTCCCCGTCCGTCTTTTATATTATCGTCGTAAAAGTACGCCATTCAGCACAGAGGGTAATCTGTTTGGAAATCACATGGCATTAGATGTCATTAGCGGTGAGTCATCTTTAATGAACACATCTAATGAAGTAAGGCTCACTGAGAGAAATAGCTTCGGGAGGGCGGTACAAGGTGTGGATGTGTGAGAAAGTGAGCGAATGCGTTTTGTGTTTCATTACGAAGTAAATAAAATATCTTACGTCTCGAAACATCATGAGGTTCCCAAAAAATGGAGAGGGCTTTGGGTGCTTGATGCCACATCGTTCCAAGACTATTCCTATTAAAACAAAGACAAAGAGGTTCAGTGAAAACATCCTTAGTTTGGAGTCAGTGTGTCTGAGCATTATTAGAAAGACATGTATGAAAGTGATAAGAGAATAAATAGTGAAAAATAAAATCATTAGAAAAAAAGGGAGACATTATGCTGCAAACAAATAGGCAGGTAAAGGGAAAATATATATTAATATAAATCAAATTAAAAAAAAACTATTTTTTTTAAATATTATTATATAAAAAGCAATAAATGTAAATATTTATTTATAAAATTCTAATATTATTTAATATAAAATAATATTATAGTGCTGTGTAGTCTCTCAATTAATAGGAAAGTCTTAGAAACTGCATGTATAATAAAAAAAAAATTAAAAAAAACACAATTCGTTGTGATTAAATGACAGACAAAAGCAATTCTAGGGGCCATTGTTTAAATTGCTTGACCCGGGACAACATTAGGGCCCATTGTGGGCTTCCTTTGTCACAGGGTCTAGTACAACGTTTCCAGTTGTCCCCCCTGATGACAACCCTGTGCTTATTGTAGACGGGGATGTAAGTGACGGTATCGGAGAGCACTGGGAAGTGCTGCATTTCCTCAGAGTATGGAAAAGGGGACCTGCATTATGCTTGAGGATTTCATCTGCTGACACACCAGCGCTTCGACCACTTTTAACTTTGAAGTGAGCCGTGGGAGATGACGAGACGTTATTCACTCAAAGAGTGGTGTTTAACTTCTAGGGGACAAAAATGCAATGTCTTAATCCACCAGAGAAAGAGAACAGCGAGTACTTTATTCAAATGTGTGCAAATATTCGCTAACACTGGTGTACCGAAACCCATTTGCAAGTTAAGAAACACATTTCTGGGTGTTTATTCCACTATGGGCACTTTAATGTCCCAGGAGTTGATTTTTATTCAAACTTTTTGTTATATAAAGATCACATTAAACTAGTGGTTCTCAATCAAGGGGCCTGGGGCTTACTGGAGGACCTTAGTATACTTCCAAGGGGGGCCTCAAGATGACTTCAAATGAGACAAGACAACCATTAAAATAAGGTGAAACTATTTAGCTTAAAAAAAAGATGTAGCTTATTTTAACAAATGCTTTTTATTGAAGCACCAGGATTCCCAAGGTCTGGATAAAAATGAGGAAAAAATATTTGTTAAAAAAAAAAATCTATCTACCATGGCTTTATTTTTACTGTTTTTCAAACGTCTTTTATGCACAGATTTAACCTTTGTCCCCTATGGAGGACCAAACCTGCAGAAATGATAGATAGATAGATAGATAGATAGATAGATAGATAGATAGATAGATAAAGGAATTAATGATTTGATGAAACAAATTCATTTGTAATAGATTTTAATCCTGAATTTATTTTTATTGCCTTTTTCTTTATTTATTACTTTCTATATTTATTTTTACATTTATTTGTATTATTTTTTACTTCTCTTTACTTATTCTTTAATTTTTTTATTATTAATTTTTTTTATTTTATTACTCATTCTTTCATCTTTTATTTATTCTTTTATATTAATTTTTTTATGCATTCATTTATTAGGTAAAATATTTTGTAATATTTGACTTAAACAAAGCATTTTCAATATTTCCTTTTATGAAAATTATTTATATCAGTTTTACACAATTCTGACCGTACATTATTTGTGTACAATAATGTGCAACCAACAATTTAGCAACAACAGAGCCTTAATAATTATTTAAAGATAAAATTTTAGCTCAACTATTTAAAAATGAGTGTACTTGGTTACAATTGCAACAAGTGGCAAAATATCATTTAATTTAATATTCAATTAAAAAAAAGGTTTTTTATTTACATTTTTTTTTTATTTTACACCGCTTCTATTCCAAAAAATGTTGATTTCCACCACAAAATAAATTCTGATTTGAGATGTTGAAATTAAGGACATTTTCATGACAGTTCAAACAAAACAACTTAAACTAGTGAGGGTTTATTCTCTAAAATTCCAGTGCCAAAAACCTGCATAGTTGAAGAAACACCCTTGTATGTTTTTTCCAATCATGTTTGGCTGGAAATATCAAACTCTTACTTCAGCATTGTGGCGAGAAGTAACTGCCACCCATCTTCCTCAGAAATAAAAAAAAGTACTGTAACCAAAAAATTCTGACATCCATCTCCTTCATAATCTTCAGCTCGGCAGGAGTTCATTACCATATTAACTGTCAGATTAGAGAGTGGGTCTTAACACATGCTGTAAAAAAAGAGCTGGAATGATAACTCATTTTATGACACGCTCTTAATTACACAGAAGCACGTCGCATCCTAACACGCTCGTCCGGTGTTGAAAGACGACGAATCCCCAGTCCAATCTGTCCGTGTCCAGATTCAAAACCATTTCTCACTTCAGCACAAATATATTCACCACGAGTCGTCAGACAAATATCCCCCAGTCTTTCAACTCATTACTGGTTAAGTGAACACAGAATTAATGTGAAACACATCCACAGCACTCAGCAGGGTGAGATCAGGTTTAGCCCTAATAGTTGTGGGAAAGTCTTTCAGCAAAACAGGACCAAAGTTGATTTGTCCTTCATAACATGCAGTTTGGAACATTAACAACAGCTTGTTCCAGTTTTGCTGGAGTTCAATCAAAAATCTCTTTAGGGAACACCAGAATGAATGTGTTGCTCAAAGAGCAGGTGTTACTGAAGTGTGTCACAACTCATATGAAGCAGAATGTATTTCCAAATTTTGAAGGCAGAAAAGTTCAAAAGCAGCCAAAACTGATCAATAAAGTGACTCACATGTGAAAAGTCAATCACACGTGAAGCACAAAAGAAAGTCCATTTCAAAAGGATATTCTAATAGAGCATGTTGTTAGGCTAATACACTGCTCTAATAAGAACAACAAACATATAGAACACACAAATATTAGAATTGTGAATCCATCTTGTTAGTCATTTTAATTTACTTACAAATTGTAAATTTACTGTAAAAGTTAAATTTAACGTAATTTAAGCCTCACATGAACAGTCAATTTTTTATATCAGTTACTGTACTGAAATGAGATCACATTTATGGCGTATGTGCTTGACAAATGTGACCTATATAGGGTGCAAACTTGACAATGTGACAAGCTATAATGTTGCATTCATGTCAGAAACGTGTCTGTAATACCTTAGACGCTGTCTCTGTCGGAAACCTATTATGTTTTGGAACAGAGCCCATGTTTGTGCTTCTAATTTTTCACAACAGCACCTAAACGGTACGGTGTAAACAGACTTAAACGTAACTTTTTTTTGTTATTCTTCCTTGCTAATATACACTTCCCCCCCACACAAGTTCACTTATGAATGTACATTTTTTTGCACCAAAAACAAAATTTGACCAGTTTTACATTTTCTGACTCTTAAAGGTGACATATCATGAAAATCTGACTTTTCCAGGTTTTAAGTGCTATAATCAGGTCCCTGGTGCATCTACAAACCAAGAAAACGTGAAAAAGATTAACCCAATCACTTTGTTTTGGTAAGCCTTTTTCTGCAAGCCTCTGAGAAACCAGCACGCCTTGGTGACGTGGCAAAGGGATCTCATTATAATATTACATGCTGTGACAGCCGCTTTCTGTCCGTGTGCTTCGGTTGTGTGCACTCAGAAAACCGTATATCAGAAGTTTAAACTCATATGGTTTAAAACGCAGGATTTCAGCACGATAAACATGACAATCAGAACCAAAACAGATGTTTTCAGCAGATACGAGCTTTAAAGGCACAGCTCTATTCTGGAAAAGACATTGTCATTTAAAGACACAGGCCCGAAAAACAGCGTGTTTTCACCTATAGGTGCAAAAATGATAGCATTTTTTTAACTTGGATTTCATTAACTAGCTGCGTAACAAGAACATGACCAATTTAAGTTTATAGGACAACTAAACTATCAATTTAAACACAAATGTACCGTCAACTACAGACGTTGCATCCATCGATTCCGCCATGTTTCTCATTGACATGCCCCCAACTCGGAAACTCTGGGCTTAAAGAAAATTTCGAGTTACCCACTCTTAGTAACGACTTTGTGGTGGCATTCATGTGCGTTCAACTCGTAAATACGATCTATCTGACATAACTTGAACGCACCATTACTGCCCCTTAATCTGTAAGAGTTTCCACCCACAGCGCCGTCATTTTGATTTCGCAAGCGACAACGGTGTCCCAGTTCTAATGCCATGGCGAAAGTTTAAGCAAAACATGCTAACTGTTCTGTCTTTGGCTGCACAGACGAGCACAGAACACTATTTAGAGTCCCAGCCTCAGAGGAGACAAGAGAGCAGTGGATTTATTGATTTATTTAGGCTACTGTATATTACTGCTGCCACACAGATCTAAAATAAACAAGCTATTTATTTCCCAGCTGTTTACCTTCACAGACATATCCGACTGTTTTTTGTAACTCGTATGTTTTTAACTTAAACTTAGTACTCACATGCTGTGACAGCAGCTTTCTGTCCATGTGCTTCGGATGTGTGCGTTCAGAAAACCTCATATCTGAAGATTAAACTCATATGGTTTAAAACGCATGATTTCAGCACGATAAACATGACAATCAGAACCAAAACAGATGTTTTCAGCAGATACGAGCTTTAAAGGCACAGCTCTATTCTGGAAAAGACATTGTCATTTAAAGACACAGGCCCGAAAAAGAGCGTGTTTCTGCTTCCACTCAAAATAGGTATTTTCAAAATTATATAATAAATGATCTGTGGAGTATTTTCAGCTGAAACTTCACAGACACATTCTGGGGACACCACAGACTTGTATTACATATTGTAAAAAGGGGCATAATATGTCACCTTTAATTTAGATGAATTTAAGAAGTTGTTTTTGCAACTGTGCCTTTTAAAGGGCAAGTTCACCAAATTTCATAATTGTCATAATTTAACATAACTGTTCCAAAGCTGTATTTTTCTGTGGAACACAAAGAATGATATTTTTCAGAAACAACACTGGACCCCACTGACTTTCAT